ACTTCTTGTCTTGATTCTCTATTTTTTTAGTTCGTTACAGATTCTGGATATTAAATCTCTGTCAGATGTGTCAGTGGTGAAGATTTTCTCCCACTCTGTGGGTTTTCTCTTCACTTCCTTGGTTGCTTCTTTTGATGTACTGAAGCTTTTTAGTTTAATGAGTTCCCATTTGTTGATTCTTGACCTTGTTTCCTGGGCAGTTGATGTCCAGTTTAGAAAATCCTTTCCTACACCTGTATCTTGTAGGTTATTGCCAATGTTTTCTTCTAACAGTTTCAGAGTTTCTGGCTTTACATTGAGGTCTTTGATCCATTTGGAATTGACTTTTGTGCAAGGTGAAAGATAGGGGTTTAGTTTCATTCTTCTACAGGTAGAGATCCAGTTTTGCCAGCACCATTTGCTGAACACAGTGTGTTTCCTCCAGTGAATGTTCTTGGCTCCTTTGTCAAATATCAGGTGGCTGAAATTGAATGTACTCATATTTGGGTCTTCAATTTTGTTCCATTTATCTATGGGTCATGCCAATACCATGTTGTTTTTATGACTATAGCTCTGTAATACAGTTTAATATCTGGTATAGTAGTCCCCCCAGCATGGCTCTTGGTGCTCAGGGTTGCTTTGCCTATCCAAGGTCTTTTGTGCTTCCATATGAATCTTAGGATGGTTTTTTTTCCAACTGTGAAAAATGTCATGGGGAATTTGATTGGCATTGCATTGACTCTATAAATGGCTTTTGGTAGGATGGTCATTTTCACAATATTAATTCTTCCAATCCATGAGCATGGGAGGTCGTTCCATCTTCTGATGTCGGCTTGGGGTTTGTTATATACGGCTTTAATTATGTTGAGGTATGTTCCCTCCAGTCCAATTCTTTCTAGGACTTTGAACATAAATGCATGTTGAATTTTGTTAAAGGCCTTCTCTGCATCTATTGAGATGACCATGTGGTTCTTGTCTGCTGGGTTTGGGTTTCATTTCTTGTTGCTTTTTAAGTATTTTGAATTGCAATGTTAAGTCATTTATTTGTGATCTTTCTAATTTTTTAATGTAGGCACTTAGAGCTATAAACTTCCCTCTAAAGACTGCTTTCAGGGGTTTTGTTGTGTTGAATTGTCTTTTTCATTTAGTTCTAGGAATACTTTTATTTATTTCTTAATTTCTCTTTTGACCCATTCATCATTCAGGAATGTGTTTAATCTCCATGTGTTCATGTGGTTACTGGGCATTCTTCCAGTGTTAATTTTAAGCTTTATTGCATTGTGTTCTGATAGAATGCATGGAATTATTTCAATCTTTTTGTATTTGTTGAGGTTTGATTTGTGCCCCAGTACATGGTTGATTTTGGAGACGGTTCCATGGGGCACTGGGTAGAAAATATATTCTTTGGTGCTTGGGTGGAATATTCAGCAGATATCTGTTAGGTTCATTTGATATATGGTATTGTTTAATTCAGAAGTCTCTGTTAATTCTCTGTCCTGTTGACCTATCTAATGGTGACAACGGTGTATTGAAGTCCCCTACTATTAATGAGTTGGGATTAATCTGGGTCTTAACATCCTGTAGTACTGTTTTTATGAAGTTGGGTACACCAGAATTTGGTGAATATGTGTTCATGATTGTAATATCTTCTTGGTTTATTGTTCTTTTGATCAGAATCAAGTAGCCTTTTTTGTCTCTTCTGATTAGTTTTAGTTTAAAGTCTATTTTATCAGATATTAGAATTGTAACGCCTGATTTTTTCTTAGTACCATTCACTTGGTATATTTTTTTTCATCCTTTCACCTTAAGGCAGTGCCTGTCCTTGAAAGTAAGATGAGTTTCTTGCAGACAATGAAAAGATGGGTTTTATTTCTTAACCCATTCAACTATTCTGTCTTTTGACTGGGGAGTTCAGTCCAGTGATATTTAAAGTTATTAATGAATGGTGTGTATTGAATCCTGTCATTTTTATTTCTGTTCACATTCTTGATATAGCTATGCATTTCCACAATTATCCCTTCATTGAATTTCTTTCCACCCCTTGTGTATAGTCATTCCTTTCTTCAGCTCTTTGTATTGATTCAAGAACTCTCTGAAGGTCTGGTTTTGTGGACATGAATTCTTTCAGCCTATTTATGTCATGGGAGGTTTTTCTTTCCCCTTCAACTATGATAGACATTTTTCCTGGTAATGTATTCTAGGTTGGCATCTATGAACCTTTAGAATGTGGAAACACAAATAGAAAAAAATGTTTTGTGCGTGTAGTGTTTTTACTACGATGTGCCGTGGAGAGTTTCTGTTCTGGTCCTGTCTCTTTGTTGTTCTGTATGCTTCTTGTATTTGTATGGGCATGTCTTTTTTTAATTTTGGGAAATTTTCTTCTACAGTCCTGTTGAAGATCTGTTCCATACCATTATCTTAAGATTCTTCTCCTTCCTGTATGCCTATGATTTGTTTGGTCTTTTTATGGTGTCACACAATTCTTGCATCTTCCATTCTTGTGTTTTTTAAAATTTTTTCATGATCTTTGCTTGTGTGGTCTAATTCATCCACTTTATCTTCCAGTCTCGATAGTCTGTTTTCCATTTCATTCATCCAGTTGGTGAGGCTTTCTCCTGTCGTTTCTAATTAGCTTACTGAGTGTTTCACTTCCTTCTTCATTTTAGCCTGAGTAGTCTTCAATATTTCTAACTCTTTTCTGAGTTCATTCAGAAGTTTATCCCTATCTTCCTTCAATTGATTTCTTTGTGTGCTCTTTAAATTCACTAAATTCTTTTATCATGCTTATAATTGTTCTTTTGAGTTCCATGTCCTGCATTATCTCTAGGGGGTTCTCATTGTACTCCTCTAGATGACTATTGGTATTTGGTGGGGATATATTATTTTGGTTTTTCATGTTATTATTTTTTCTCTGTGACTTTGACATGGTGAATTTCTTTCCTAGTTTTGATTCTTGTGTGAGACTCGAGCCTTCCTTTGTTGAGTTTAGATCTGCTTCTTTTTGTAAACTTTATGTGCCTTTGTGGTTTACTTGTTGGGTATGAAAAGCTGGTTGGTCTAGGCTTCAGGTTTTCTCTTTGGATTTTCTATTGAAGGGGCCTAATTGCTTTTGTCTTCAGGAGTTCCCACAGAGGCCCAAGTGAGATGAGGCTCAGATGCTCTCAGGCTTTCTCCTAAGGTATGGGTCCCTCCAGGAAAGATGCTGCCCTCAAGAATTTGGGAGCTGGGCTGGCCTGGGAGAAGGGCCCAGGATAGATGCTGGTCTCAGGAAGCTGGTGGCTGTTCCACCCAGGGAAGTAAAGGGAGGTGAGGGTGGGACCAGGCCTAGAGGGTTCCTGGGGGCCCACAGGGAGGAACTCGGTTGGTCCAGATGCAAAGGATCAGGAAGCAGTGGTGGCTCTGGGCCAAGAGGTTGGCCCTAGTGTGTGGGGTGCCAAGACAAGAAATGCACCTGTACCCAGCCTAGAAGGAGAGACTGGGGGGAGGGGGATGAAAGAGCTTGGGGGAGTCAAGGCACGCTGAGCTGGACTTACCCAGGGAAGGTGCTGGGACTAGGACACAGGAGGCTGTGCAGCCCAGAGAAGTAAAGGGAGGTGAGAGCAGGACCAGGCCTAGAGGGTTCCTCTCTCTAAACTTTTATCTTTGCAACCTAACAATTTACCATTCCTATCTTTTAACATTGGCATATCCTGATCTTTTTAAAATATTTTATTTATTATATGTGTATAATAATATGTGTATTTACACACATGTAAGCAATACACTCACACTCATTGTACCTGTGTCATGCAATGCCCACAGAGGTCAGAAGAGGGCATCAGCTCCCCTGGAAATGGAGTTATAGAGAGTTGTTAGCCTCCATGTGGATGCTAAGAATTGAACCCAGGTCCTCTGCAAGAGCAGTCAGTGCTCTTAACCACTGAGCCATCTCTTCAGTCCCTAATCTTTCTTTTCTGTAACCTCATCATATAAATACTCTTTCTAACAGATTTTCTTTGAGGGAAGGAGAAAGGGGACTGTGGAAGAAAAAAACTCAGGGCTGGCCTCCTGGTGTGTGGGTTTCTCTCTCCATCCCCCAGCCTTGGCCTTCTGACCAAACCCCCCCCCCCCCCCCCCCCGCCATGCTTTTCTAACCAAACTTCACTGACCCTCTGGAAATCCATGTGGATTCATCCCATAAGTGGAAACCAATTTCCTCGGATTTGTTTCTAAACCAATGTCATGGAAGAGTGCTCTCTTTCCAAAAAGAATTTTTTTTTGTTTTTTGTCCACAGACATTTTCATGAATGAAATCTTTAAAAGTAACAGATGACAAGAAGTCAAAAAACACTATGAAAAATTACAGCAAGCTCTAATTCTGCAATTCTGAGGTAAAAAGCTTTCACCCTGGGTTCCAAGTGCCCCAGTACAAGTTAGGTGAGGCCTGAAGACCAGAGATGTGACTGTAATTGTGGGAGAACTTTCTAGGCTCCTTTCTCTTTCTGCAGATGATAGATTTACACAAGGAGCGATGACAGCAAACACTAGCTGGGGAGGGGTTCAACATTCTTCTGGTGAATTTCAGTCAAAGTGTAACTGTGAAAAGCTGGGTTCTGCATAACTTTTTTCTGTTCTCCAAACAAGAGAGAACAGGGATGAAAAGCTTAAAGATAATTTTCTTTTGTAATTATCTAAAGTAGAGAGCAGATTTTCAGGGGCAGAGAGAAGGCTGCATCATCATTTAGGAATTTGAAGCCCTATTTAAATTTAGCCCTATATAAACTTCCAGAATAAACACTGGATGAAATCCCTCTTGTTTCTCTGTCATTTATCATCTTTCCAACCTAGTAGACCCCTAAAATCCCAATTCACCTCTTGCCCCTTGACTGGGAAAAAAAAAAAAGAAAAACACATCAATGAGGACAATCATTACCCAGAAGACAGATTGTATGTCAAGTTCCTCAGGGAGATTTGTTACTGCTGAGCACGTTTCCTGTCCAGGACCTGGATCCCCAGCCCTGCTGACCTGACTCCCCACTTACCAGCTGCATTGTACTGGTGATACTGGATCAACTCAGGGACGGATGGAAAGAGGTGTCGCTCAGCCACATACCACTGTCCTGAGTCATTCTTTTTAATCTGATAATGTTTTATTGAAGACTCTGTACTTCTATAATCAACAGAATGTAAATTAGTAGAAAAATTACTTAGGGAGTCAGTCGATGCATTAAGCAACAGGACTCCAATTCTCAAGCTCTCATCCTAACAATACTGCACCCTGAAGAGACAACTGATGGACTCAATAGGTGTCTGATCGGTGCTAGAAAATTCCTCAGCTGTCTTATTGTTACCCCAGATTCAAGCACAACTTTGACAAGCTCAATGCCCAGTAAAGTATTGCCTATCATGAAATACATATAAATATTTATTATATATCAACTACTGATTTGAAATGAGTAAACCCATTGTGAGGGATTGGAAAAGTGAGACAAGGCAGGCAGGAATGTCAATATAGGGAACATTACTGTGCAAGGTACTACTTAGAGCAGCTGGGGCTTGTTCCTTCCAGGAACCTATGAGACAAGAACATCTCAGGACTGCCCCACTAAAGTGCAAAGAAGCTCAGTGCCTATTGATCACCAAGGAGGACTATTCCTGAGATACTACCTCTCAGGTACTTTTGGTCTTACCACAAGTTCCCATAGTCAGAGAAGATCCCAGGCCTAAAGACACAGGAAGCTTACTCCATGCAGCTGTGTCTGCAGACCAGCCCTAGACTAGACCAAAGATATCTGGGAACACACCAACAGTGTGTGCTACAACTAATATATCTTGATCGAGGGGATTTGTTTTTAACAAGGAAGAGAAGAGAAGCTATGTAACAGACTGTGTCAGGCATCAAAGTGGACTGGCTACTTGACCCAGTTTCTAGGCCAGCAATCTGTGTGAGTTAAGCTCTCACTTATACTCCCTAGATGATGGCTTCTCCATAAAACAAGACTGTCCCACAAATTATTCCTAAAGTGACCAAAATCACAAATACTTACCTTCTATCTCTTGTAAACACAGAAATCGTGTAAGAACCCAAATGCCTTGAATCTCTCACAATAAATGCACCTTCTTTGGCCTGCAAAAAAATAGTATTCATCATACGAGTCTATTCCTTCTTAGAAAAACCCATGTTTCATTGATAAAAACTACATTGATTCATTATAAGTAAATGACTTATTTCAAAGTAAGTGATTTCTATACTCACTATAAAAATGAGGTTTGTTTTACAGATACAAAGCATCTTGCCTCTCATAAGTTTAGGAGACATAAATCTAGAAAAGGTATTTTGGATATGACTATAATGTATGAGTATTTTAAATATCATCATTGTATTTCTAGGAAGAGTTCTGGTTTTGATAACCTTGTACCCACCATTTAGTGATTTTTGTTATATTGCTCAGAATAGCAGATAAAAACCGCTGACCCTAGAAGAAATTCTGAGACAGACTGACAGGACTGCACTTGGAAGAAGCAGAGTGGGGGACACTGGGAGAAATGTTTCTGCAAAGGCAGAGAGTGGGGAAGGAGATCAGAGTTCGTGAGAAAGAAGAAATATGGGAGATTCTGCTGAGAACTGCAAATTGTTGTAGGGTGTGAGAGAGATGAAGAGAAACGCCTGTGGGAGAACATGGTAACACATTTAATTCTCTGTTAAGAACTGGGTCCTTGTGGACATTCTTTGGAGTACCTCTAAGACAGCTGTAAATTGCTTTCAAACAATTTTGAATTTGGGGCTATTTCTTTCGTGTGTTATTATAAAACTTTTCAGATTTACTAGATGTGCTTATGCTTCTGCAAACAGAACAGCCCAGCATCTCTCTTATCAAACCCATGGAAGATTACTCTTAGGAAGTTTTGTAGCACTTAGATTATGCTTAGGAAGTGGACACCCCAAACACTATAGCCAGCACCTCACAGTGCACTTAAAACATAAAGCAAAGTCTTCTCCTTCTTCCACATGCTTACCAGGACATCAGGCTCAGGGCTGACATGGCTTAGCAATTAAGAGCACTGGCTGCCCTTGCAGAGGACCTGGGTTCAGTCCCCAGCACCCACATGGTGGCTAACGACTGTCTGTAACTACAATTCCAGGAGATCCAATGCCCTCTTCTGGCCTCTGCAGGCCTTGCACATATGTGGTGCCCTACATATATGCAGGTTAAAACACACATACACATAAAATAAAATCAATTAAAAAAAAACTGTTTGAAGATATCAGGCTCAATCCCTAATTGAACACTTTTAGTCAAAAGTCTCTGACAGGGTTGGAAACCACAAATTCTGGCTTATATTGAACTACTCTGGTGTACAAGAGTTGAGTTACATATTATAACTGTTACATACTGTAAGGATGACGAAGACGTAAAAAGTCACATGTATGGTATACATACATACATTGGAGTAGATACACATAACAGCATATAACAAAGTTGCATAAGGAGTGGCCTCCTCATAAAGTTTCAAAGAAGGAAGACATCTGACCTCAAAGCAATAAAATTAGAAACTCCCAAATACAATGCCTTTAGCATCTGCAGTTTTTAACTCTCTTTTATATAATCAATGAAATTAACATAAAAATGAAAATGTCTACAAAATAATAAGAATTCATGTGGTATTTAGATGCTCTTAGTTATATCTATAAACAACAACAAAAAAAAAAACAGAGATAAACACAACCAATTCAACAAGTTAATAAAAGATTTGTAAAATAAACCTAGGAGGAGCTAGAGAGAAGGCTCAGCAGTTAAAAGCATTGACTGCTCTTCCAGAGGACCCGGGTTCAGTTCCCAGCACCCATATGGCGGCTAACAACTGTATGTAACTCCAGTTCCAGGGAATCCAACATCTTCTTCTGGCCTCCATAGGCATCGCACATACATGGTGTATCTAAATACATGCAAGCAAAACACTCAAACATTTAAAATAAAAATTAATTAATTAATTAAAATAAACCTAGTTAAGTAAGAGGAAAAAATTAACAAAAATCAAAGTAGAAAGCTGGGTGTGGTGGCACACCCCTTTGATCCGAGTACTTAGGAGGCAGAGGCAGGTGGGTCTCTCTTTGAGTTCAAGGCCAACTTGGTCTACATAGTGAGTTCTAGGCCAGCTGGGGCTACAGAGAAACTTTGTCTCAAAAAGAAAAACCAAAGTAGAAGATCACGACCAAAAAAAAAAATATGATATAACCAGTAATTAACTTCAAAATCTGGTTCTTTGGAGGAAAATAACAGACAGATAAACTGGTAATTAACCTAATCAATAACTACTGTTTAAATTATCAAAAATATCACCAAGAAAAATAAATCAAAGATCTATAAAAAATTAAAACTTTATTTGCCTCTGTAACAAATTTGAAAACTTAAACAAAATGGGTAATTAGCTAACCAACAAAACAATTTCTCAAAATTGAATCCAGAAGAAAGAAAAAAATTAATGGGTCTATTGATTTGAAAAATGGCTAAGATTCTTAATTCACAACATTAGAAAGTACCATAGTTTTACACCTTGGAATATACCAAACTTTAAAGAAAAAAAGTGGTATAGAAACTAAAGAATTCCAGAGCATAGGTAAAGGAGAAAAACTTAATTTGGGGCTGGAGAGATGGCTCAGTGGTTAAGAGCACTGACTGCTCTTAGGATCCAGGTTCAGTTTCCAATACCTACTTGGTGGCTAACTCTATAGCTACAGTTCCAGGAGATCCAACGCCCTCTTATGACCTCTGTAGGCCTTGCATGACACAGGTGCACTTACATGCGTGCAGGCAATACATTCATACATATAAAAAAAATAATAAAATATTTTAATGTCTAAATTTATGTATAAGGTTGCTGTCAGGAACAACAACCCAGCCTAGATGCACAGAAAACTACTGACTGGCTTCATTTAAATCAACACAAATGTTAAACAAAATGTTAATTAATTGAATCCAGGAACATCAAAGAGCAGTACAGCACAGCCCACTGATTTGCAATGCCTGAAAGTTTTTCCTTAAATTAATCTGTACATTGAATGCAACCACAAGGAGGGTTCCCCCCCCCAATATGTCAAGGTGAGTCTGCAAATGAGAAAAGTTAATTGTTAATTACCAGACAGGAAGTTTTTCTTACTGTCTTAGAGTGAGGAAAGCAATTCTACCTTGACCCAGTCTCTCAGTCTTTATAAAAATTTATCTGATAAATTCAAACATGTACAAATCAAATACTATTCATGCCAGAAAACCATTAGACAATTGGAAAACTGGAGGAAATATTGCTACATGTCACAAAAGATTAATTTCCTTAGTATGGTTACATCCTACAAATTCTGAGAAGAACATCAAAACCAAATAAAACTATGCAAAAGATATGAACAGACAGTAACAACAAAGAAAATCAAATACATAAAATGTAATGTATGGAAAATGTTTAACATCCCTAGGCTAAGAGTATGGGAATCAAATCCACAGTATGACGAGGTGTCAGAGTAGGATCCAGATGTTTCATATGAAATGCTGTCTGCAAAGGCTGTGGGAAACAGATGCTTGTACATTTCTGGTCGGTATCTAAATTCATACAACTCCCAGAAAGGACACTTTGATGTCTGTAAAAGTTAGAAATGTGCTCCCTTTGACCCAGGATTTACACCTTACAGATTCATCCTATAGACAGACTCATATAAATAGAAAACGATGTATGTGAAAGTTAGTCAAGGCAGCATTGTTTTAAAAGCAAAATAGCACATACCACTTAATATAATGAACCATTGATTTGAAATTGTGATACATCCAAATTGGAAAGTAATGTGCACTGATTGGAAAGTATGTGTACTGATGTGGAATATTCTCAGTATGAAGGGAAAAGGCAATATGTAGAAGAGCAGAAATAGGAGCTGAAGAAATGGCTCAGTGGGTAAATACTCGCCAAAAAAAAAAAAAAAAAAAAAAAAAAAAGCATAAGGACCTGAGTTCAAAGCCCCAGCACCCATATAAATTCCAGGTAGCCTGCCTGAAATCACAGTTTTCTAGGAGAGTCCCTGAGACAAGCTGGCTAAATACATGAGCCAAATCAGAGAGTTCTGGGTTCAACTGAGAGGCCCTGCTTAATAAATGAAGATGGAGAAAGACCAAGGAAGATTCCTGATGTCAACCTCTGTACCTGCACACACATAAGTAAACATGCACACACACACGCCATACACAATAAAGAAAAAAGAAGAGTATGTAATATGCTGCCATTTATGAAAAATAGTAACACAAGAAAACATACTTGAGATTACTTACATTAAATATCTCAGAAAGGACTCAAAATAAACTAATAACATCAAGAAAGAAAGAAACAGATGGCTTTGAGGCTTGGAGAGAAGTTTGAAAGAAAACTTTCAAAACCTTTAGATTTGAATGATATGAACAGACTGATTCTTTAAATATGGAAAGAAATAAAAATCATAGGATACTGCTGTGAATTATTTATATGATAAATTTTAAAATAAAATATAAAACAGGCAGTTCTCAAGGTGGTTATAATTATCAAACATCTCATAAAGAAAAGGAATTTAAACCTGTCATCAAATCTACCGATTTTCAAAACCAGCATGTCCTGATTATTTTATGAAAGAGAAACGCCTGACCTTCAACATATCCAATACAAGCTACCACAGAGGCTGAAAGAACAGGCAAACTCCACTACCCAACTCATCGTACGAAGCTAGTACAACTTTTTGCTAAATGCAAAAAGATTGGAAAGTAACAAGCGAAGCTCACTTTCAAACCTGACAGGATAAATGTGAAATAAAATAATAGGAAAGCCAACCCGTGGCTAAGCAGAGCTTGGTCCAAGCATATTTTAAAATAAAAAGACATATAAATTGTAAAAACATTTTAAGACATAGAGCAATAGTATGTCCTTTTTGAAATATACTATTCATTATACCCACACATATCAGATGTGTTGGTGTAGCATGTGAAAAGCAACCTTACATATTTAAAAGAAAACACAAAAATATATTTTTAAAAAAATGATTGTCTTTTCTGGTTCATGTGTATGTGGGGATGTATGCATGTATATGTACACAGTGTATGTATGTGTTGTATGTACATATGGCATGGGGATACACACACACACACACACACACACACACAAGTGCACGCACGCACACAGAAGCCAGAGGAGGACATCAGGCATCCTGTTCTATCACTCCCCAGGGTCTCTCACTGAACCGGGAGCTAGGTGGCAGCCATCAAGTCCCAGCAACCATCCTCTGCCCTCCCCTGCCCAAAGCAGCACTGAGGACACAGGCACACAAAGTCATGCCCAGCTTGTCACATGGATGCTGGGGTTTTGAACTCAGGTCCCCCTGCTTGTGGAGCAAGCTCTCTTATTCCCCTGAGCCACCTTCACAGCCTCCCCTGGATTTCTCATGCTAAACCAAAAGTACAGATAATAAAGAGAAAAGTTGAGAAATTCAAGTATATTAACAGTGTACAAATTCTGTGTAAGAAAAGACAGTAGGAACAAAAGAGCATATGTGCAAAAGATTGGTATTGGAGATATATGTTTAAGATTTCTAAGTTCAAGAGGCGAATAAGTTTAGGCAGAAGAATATACCTAACTGATGAATGGACATATAAAATTAATTGCACTGGTAATCAGGAAGTAGGGTCTTTTGTGCTTCAATATTAATTTTAAGAATTTTTTTTAAAGTTTTATGAAGAATACCCTGGAATTTTGATGGGTATTGCATTGAGTCTGCAGATTGCTTTTAGTAGGATGGTCACTTTCACAATATTAACCTTACCAATCCATGTGACAGGTGGTCTCTCCATCCCCTGGTTTCTTCTTCATTTCTTTCTTCAGTGTTTTAAAGTTTTCAATATGTAGGTCTTTCACTACCTTGGTTATGTTTATTACAAGACATATTTTGAGGCTATTGTGAATGGGATTGCTTCCCTGATTTCTTTCTGAGTATTTTTGTTGTTAGTATACAGGAAGGCTAATGATTTGGGTATAATAATTTGGTAACCTGCCACTTCATTGAAAATGTTTGTCAGCTCTGAGTTTCCCGGTGGAGTCTTAGGACAGACTCATGCATAGACTCATATCATCTGTAAACAGGGATACTTTGACTTCTTCCTTTCCTACTATTTCCTTCTCTTGTCTTGGTGCTGACTAGGACTGCAAGTACTCTATTAAATAGGAGTGCCGAGAGTGAACACTCTTGCCTTGCTCCTGATCTTAATGATAATGCTTTGAGTTTTTCTTCACTTAATATGATGGCAGTTACAGGTTTGTCATATAAAGCCTAGTCATATGGCTTTTATCATGAAGGGGCTTTTATCAAAGGTGATATGAAGGGAGAAAAGGGAACAATAGGGAAGGGAGGTTTAAGTGGAGGGTGAAGGGAGAGAAGAAGGGAGGGTAGGAAGAGGAATAACTAACACTGAGGATGTTTGAAAAAAGTCAAATGAGCCAGGTGTGATAGTGCACATCTTTAATCCCAGCACTCAGGAGGCAGAGGCAGGCAGATCTCTGTGAGTCTGAGGTCAGCCTGGTCTATTACAAGTTTCAAGCCATCCAGGGCTACATAGTGAGATCCTGCCTCAAAAAGAAAGAATAAAAGAAAAGAAGGAAGAGAGGGAGGGACAGAGGGAGAGAGAGAGAAAGAAAGAGAGAGAGAAGAAAGAAAGAAAGAAAGAAAGAAAGAAAGAAAGAAAGAAAGAAAGCTGCATTAATCTAAATGCAGTTACCTTACATGGGGGCTAATGCTCCTCCCAAAGCCATAGGTTGCCAGCTGTGGGAAACCACCTCTCATGTTGTTAGTCAGGGACTCCCAGAAACCCTAAAAAAATGCACAGTATTGCCAGTGTTCTTGGTCACCAACCAGAACTTGATGGTAAGACTCTATTGATGAAGATACCATATATTTTGGTCACAGGATATGGAGAAATCAAGTTGTTATTAGCCAAGAAACTCCTTCCCTACTGGCCAGCTGTCATAGTACTAGAAGGTGTTTTGCAGGTTTCTAGGGGACAAAAGTCATCAACAATCTTGTCCAGCTGTTAACTTTGCAAGCTACAATAACCAGAGGCTTGGCAAAATATACCCATGTGTTCAATAGTGGCATGACTGTTATAGGGGTAACCAACTACTTTCTGATTTAAGGCCTATTTCACAGGAGGAAACTTATTCCTGATACCATAAATCTAGCCAAGAGCCTGTGGCTCAGGAGCTCATAGTCCTCAGAGGTGAACCTACTGCTATCATTTTGCTAAATAGAACTGGACATAGAACTGCTTTCTAAATATCTCTGTATACCTGTAGATTAGTGCAGTTTTCAGTCCTTATCAGAGAAGCATCTTTATATAGTGTATGGCAGTTCATATAGATATTTACACAACTGATCAATGTGCAGAGACCAAGGATGGGAGGGAGTACTCAGCCATAAATGGGACATCAGTATCACAGTCCCTTCCTCCAAGGCTCAGGAAACATTGAGAAGTGGTAAGCAGTAGAGGTCAGGGAGGACTGAGGCAAAATAGTGTCTTCTGGACATGAAGGACTGCTGTAGTCATGAACTCACAGCACCTGTGGCTGCCTATACAAGACTTACACCACATCATTCCAGCATAGATGAGGGGTTTGGACATGAGCCCCTACTCCTAGCTGAAGAGCTATTGACAGTTGATGCCTACTAGGGGGAAAACCAATCAGTTTTCATGAGGAGTGTGACCCCTGTGAGATTGACTATCTTCCAGTGAATGGCCTCGCCTCCATGAGTAACTGGACTCAGTGACTTATTTTTTTTTCCAAAGGACATGAAGTTAGGAGAGGGTCATGGGGAGGGATCTTGGAGAAAGTGAAGGGTGACTATGATCAAGTATATTATATACATAGTTGAAATTCTCAAAGAATAAATACAAAATGTTCTATCACAAAAGAACGTAGAGTAGGGGCTGGAGAAATGGCTCAGCGATTAAGAGCACTGGCTGCTCTTGTAGAGAACCTGGGTTCCATTCCTAGCACCTACATGGAGGCTAACAACCATCCACAACTCCAGTTCCAAGGGATCTGATGCCCTCTCCTGGCCTCTGTAGGCATTCCATGACGCAGGTGCACTTACATACATGTAGGCATAGCATTCACACATATAGAATGAAAATAAATAAATCAAAACATTTTAAATTAAAAAAGAATGTAAACTAGTGGAGCTACTCTGAATCATGTCTTGAAAATACTTAGCAATGTTAAATCTTCACATTAAGTGACCTGATAATTCGTTTGTACACAAGATGATAGTTATAAGAAAATATATCACAATAGAGTTTCCCATAATAAGAAGTTAGAAACTATTTTAATGTTTAAGGACATTGGATCTATTTTTATAGACTCGCATAAAAAAAGACCTGTGATGGTGGCTCACATCTATCTCAGCAGTTAGGAGGCTGAGGCAGGAGGATTGCCTCAAGTTTGAGGCTAGTCTGGGCTATAAAGGGAGATTCTGTCTCAGAAGTAAATAAGTAGATATCAATATACATATGATATTCAATAGTAAATGGTAAAATGAAAACGCTATAGATTTTTTACACACACGTATATAAGCACGCAGACAAATGAGAGTGCATCCCCCTGGTATGATCGCCTCAAGGGAAATGAAGGATGGAAGGAAGGACAGGGTAGGTTTCAGCTGCATGTGTGAGATTTTAGCCCCTTTGGAAGTGTCAGAGCAGCTGAGCACATGCTACAATCTAGCACGTAGGAGGTGGAAGCAAGAGTGCCCTGAGTTAAAGGTCACCACAGTTATACAGTTCAAGGTCAACCAAGGCTACGTGAGACTTTATCTGAAAACAAAACAATGTCAGGGCCGGTTTTTGATATTGTATCTATGGGGTGGGCATAATGCTCTGCTCTAGAGTCTGCAGTAAAATGAGAGTTTCCAGAGTCTGACATCCTTCTGGATACTGGACATCCACAGTCCTTTGCTTTGGACCATGTGACTTGCTTACTGTGGGGCTGCTCCCAGCCTTCCTTCTCTGAATTTCCCATGTTTGAATACTGAGTTTGATACTTTGACTACCAACTCTCCCCTTTGTTTCTAAAGGCTAAGGAAACTATAGCACCACATATCACTCTGTGTTTTTAATGAGTCTAAACAGAGTCCGTGAGGTTAGAGAGTCTTTGTCATGCAAAGATTATATGGGCAGCGAAGATATAGACCATGCTGGGCAAATACACGTTGAATGAAAGGGGCTGAGGAGTCTAAATCATTTTGGGAGAAACATGTTTCTGAAATTATGATAAAAGTCAATGAAAAATGTGATCGTATGCAAATATACCTGATTCATACTTAGAAAATGTGCAGGGAAATGAGAATGTAATAATATTTTAGAATTAGAAAAAATAAGAATACACCACATTGATTGTCTATGGTCTTCATAATATACCTCTCAGAATGGTTTAAAATATTCACAGACTTGTTCATGAACACATTGAGTTACCTCTTGCCTCAACAGATGTTCTGCCTGATTTCTGGTAATGTTCTTATGGTACCACCTGGAAAAGTAACAAAAAAATTTTTAACTTTACATTGAAAAGTTTTCAGAAAAATAAAACTACTGTATTTTCTTCATTTTAAAGGCCTTTACTTTAAAATTGATTTTAGAAAGTTGTGACTTTAAATTCAGATATATGACAATATGCTATTATGTTACCAATTTATCAAGTTCAATGCAATTTTACTTTCAACCCAGTACATAGTTTATTCTATCATAGCCCAAGTCAACCTCTGGCACACACAGGACCTATAGGTAATTTTGTATGATTCAACAACTTGTAAAATTCTATGAAAGTTATGTAGTTAAGAAGTCATCCTTAGGGCTGGAGAGGTGGCTCAGCAGTTAAGAGAACTTGCTCTTCTTCCAGAGAATCCATAGTTGGTTCCCAGCACCCACATGCCTAGCAACTATTTGTATCTCCAGTTCCAGGGCTCTGATACCCTCTTCTGACCTCCATGGGCATTGCATGACACAGATGCACTTAGATGCATGCAGGCAATATGCTCATATACATACATACATACATACATACATACATACATACATACATAATAAAGTCATCCTATCCAACAAATGCCTGGTTCTGCAAACAATCTTAAAAAACAAAAAATTTCTTTCCTCTCAGAAAGTTCCTGTTTGCATGCTTTTGTAAGTGCTAGTTCCCTTTCCAAATTAAAATCCATTCTAACATCTGAATCTCCTAAGTATATTACATCCTCTTGTAGTTAACAGAGTTCATGGAACAACCAATCAATGATCCTGACTCATCCTTCTTCTTCCTCCTCCTCTTCTTCTTCTTCTTCTTCTTCTTCTTCTTCTTCTTCTTCTTCTTCTTCTTCTTCTTCATCTCTCTCACCGCACCCTTTCCTCCACTCGCTAAGCCACATTGGACTTCCTTATGGTCACCAGCCCACTTTCCGCCTTCAATCACTGGGTTTCCTTTGCATTCCACATGTCATTAAGTGACTAGACTATAAGAAGTACACAAAGGAAATGAAATTAAATCGTATTATAAGGTAAATATACAATGTGATATGACCATCCTTAGGCAGTATATACATATGAGAAAGAAGGTAAAGCAAGGAAGACAGAAATGTTGAGAGCCTTCCATTTCAAATAAGATGTTTATGGAGAACTTGAAATGTCATTTAATGTTATAAGAAGCACTGCTTTGTGGAGAGCGGCAGGAAGAAGGCAGACTGAGCACAGCTAAGTCGCCGTGGGAGGTTAACTGAAACCCCTCTAGGTGACAGGATGGAGTATCACATATGTGGACTTCCCCTAACACAGTAGTGGGAAGCTAAATTAGGATGATCAGGTATCTAAATTACTAACGTCATCCAAGTATAAATGAACAGTAAAAAGGATGAGCCATAGGCACCACGAGACGATTACAGCAGATTTAGACAAAGTAGTTGGCCACTTACTAGAAGGAATAAGAGTAATTGGTGGCATCGCACAGTGCAGGGCCTTCAGGACTTCTCTTTTTTTAATGTGCATGTGTATTGCCTGCATGTGTGTAAGCACACCCACTTGTGCAATGCTTTTGGGGATCAGAAGAGGGCATCAGATTCCCTGGAAGTGGAATTAGGGACAGCTGTTAGCCATCCTGTGGGTGCTGGGGATAGAATCTGGGTCCTCTGCAAGAGCAGCCAGTGCTCTTAACTGCTGCGTCATCTCTCCAGCCCCATAAACTGCATTCTTAAATAGTATTTTCCACTTGCTCTAATGTTGATATTCATTTTATTATTTAATTCATTTATTTTAGTGATAAATAAAAAAATCAAGTGGACTCATTTTGTTTAAATATAAACTAAAAATTCACCCTCATGGGTATGTTACAAGAATGGAATGAATACAAAGTAGCTACAGAGAGTCAGGTAGAAAAGTGAGGCAAAGTCAGAGCCATTAATACAACAGAGACTTTGAGCAGAAAAGAAATTCAGTGAGGGTAATTCAGGTGAGAATCGGAGCACAGTATTTCAGAATTTTGTCTATTTAAATAACATGCTAAACATTAGAAGACTTCTTTAAGGTTTTTTGTGTGTGCTGGGATTAAAGGCATGAACCAGCCTGGCTAGAACCAGCCTGGCTACCTATTTTTTCCCAATAGGTAAGTCTGTGTCTTAGTTTTGTTTCCTGATGCTCTGATAAAACACCCTGACAAAAGCAATTTAGGTGAGAAAAGGTTTATTTTAGCTCTCCATTCCAGGCTGGAGTCCATTACCACTGGTAAGTCAAGGGGCAGGCACTGCAAGCAGCCGGTAATATTACATCCACAGTCAAGAGAAGAGAGGGGTGAATTGATGAACACAGGCTAGTGCTCTGCTTGCTTTCTCCGCTTTTTTTTTTTTTCAGAACTATTTGGGTTCTTTTAAATATAAAAATCACATTATTGTAATGAAGTCACCACAAAATACCATACAGCTAGATGAAGATAGCTACTCAAACACTTGTCCAGTCCCATACAGTTAAGAATCTCCTGCCTAAAGAATGGTGCCAGCCACAGTGAATGGGTCTTCCTGCCCCAACTACTGTAATGAAGACATCCTCCCCCCGTCATGCCTACCACCCCACCTGATGGAGACAATCCCTCACCGAGACTCTGGTCCCAGGTGACTGTAGATGTGGCAAGTTGACAATTAACATTAACCAACACAAACTTTAATTCCTATACCTAGATAACTAATACCAAACCAATACCAAATGATGTGAACACAAGAGTTGGATATTAGGGGTTGGAGAGGTGGCTCAGTGACTAAGAGCACTGGCTGCTCTTGCAGAGGACCTGGGTTCAGTTCCCAGCACCCCCATAGCAGCTAACAACCATCTGTAACTCCAGTTCCGGAGGATATAACACCTTTCTCTGGCTTCTGTGGGCACTGCACGCACATGGTGCACTTACATACCATTGTGCAAATGGTACATACGCAGGCAAAACATTCATACACATATAAAATCAATCAATCAAAGAATTGGACGTTTCAAAAAAACAGCATATCAAGTTATAGTTCATCAGAAACGGCCCATTATGTGTATAAGGCCTTGGGTTCCGTGCGCCTCTTAGATTTGTGATGAGATAGGATATGTTCAGGGTACAATGACCATAGATGCCTCCTCTTACACTTCCAAGTACTAGGCAGAAGTATTGAGCTCATCAGTTTTTTGATTCAGGAACCCCATCAGATCAGAGGAGGTAAATTTGCTTCCCTTTGTAAGTGACTGTCTAATCCCAGAATATCAGAGACTAAATGTAGAGATATGAGATGAATCAAATTCATACTTCTGGAAGTTCTGAATTATCAACATGCTTGGCATTTTAAATTGTTTATTTTTATTTTCTTATGTGTGTGAGTGTTCCACCCACATGTCTGTTAGTATACCCATGCATACAAACGCCCGTGGAGACCAGAAAAAGGCATTGGATCCCTGAACCTGGAGTTACAATAAGCTATTAGCTGCTGTGTAGGGAACTGAACCAAGGTCTTCTGCAAGAGAAACCAGTGTTTTTAACTGCTGAGACATCTCTCCAGCTCCATGCTTGGTATTTTAAATGTTTATAATTTTAAGAAAATCTAGTATAGTCAATTTTTGTCTTCAATTTCAAATGCATAATTAATTTTAAACTTATTTGCAGAGACGACTAATTTTTAAATATTTACACTGTTAAGAGAACTAAATTTCCCACATTTATGTTTAATTTGTTAGAGTTCCAGCATCATTAAAAAGATTTATATAGGACTTATTACAATTGTAAATTTGCTCTGCCAACCATGTGAAGCACTTAAAATGATAATTGACTATATTCAATTTGTTAATGCAAATTAAGTGTTTCAGGAAATGTAATTAACTGAGGTTATAAATAGGACTAATTGTTTAAGGACATTTAGCAATCGACTTTGAATTACGGTGATTGTTCTGATTTATTTAGCTTTATAAATAATTTATCAAATTGGCTTGTTGGTTTGAGGGCTTACTGAAAACTGGGTTATTACAATGTAATGTTGACAATTTGAGTATGCATTTTAAACCAAAGCAACCGTAACTCTGTGTACCCATGTTCCCCTGAGACAACACAAGTGCACACCGACACGGTCTCTTTCCACCATCCAAACCGCCTCCCACCACCTTGAGATTTCATGTCACATTCTCATAAAAGTTTTCCCTAACCCAACACCCGCATCTACGTATATCTGTTCCCCTTTGTTCTCCTGTAGTATCCTACACTACTTCTTTAGAATCATTATCTAGCACTAGTGCACTATAATCTAGAATTATATATTTGCTTTTGGTTTGTTTTTTTTTTTTTTTTTTTTTTTTTTTTTTGTCTTTTTTGAGACAGGGTCTCCCTGTAGCCCCAGCTGTCCTGGAACTCACTATGTAGACCAGGCTGGCCTTGAACTCACAGAGATCTGCCTGCCTCTGACTCCCGAGTGCTGGGATCAAAGGTGTGTGCCACCACGCCTGGCTATACATTTGCTTTTAAATGCAGTGTTACTTAATGTCTATTTTCTCCATGAACTGTAAGTCCCATAAAGGCCGGGAAGGTTCTATGTGTTCTAAATTGTATCCCCAGTGCCTGGAGCAGCTAACATCTGATACATCCCCAGTATATAGTAAATTGAGATGGAACGTATAAAGTGATTCAGGGGCTGAAGTAACTAAGGCATGCTGGTCACTATTAAAAGTAGGCAAGATGGACCAAATCATAGATGACTTTCATCTGAGCTTCACAGTTCACAGAAATGACAATAGTCACTAAAAGATATTGAATGTTTACTATGTACCATATGAGATGGGCATTACTATGCCCACTTTTTAGATCATTTGGAGACATTAGGCAACATTGCCTACAATCAAAGCACTGGTCAATAGTGATACCAGGATTTGAACTCAGTTGCATCTACACTCAGTACCTCAGCCTATAGAGCAGCAATTTTGTATAGCTATCACCGCAGTGCATGGCACATATTAAGTTATCAATAAGTTCTAGTGGTTAATTATGATAACATGTACTTAAATGAACTTGGTTTTTTCTTAACTAATATGCCATTCTTCATTGAATTTTTGTGATTTTCATACACTATAGTTTGATGGTACTTAGATCCCCTCCTTATCTGCGCCTCCCCCTACTGCCCCCTGCACAACTTAATGTATTCTTTTATATATATAATATGGCCTATAGAGTCTGATTTGTGTCCTTAAGTGTCCTTCAGTGTGGGTCCATCCACTGGGTGCACCAAGAGTCCCATCCCTGAACTTATTTTTTTTTTTAAAAAATAAAATTTAGACTACATCTTCCCAAAACTGGAGTCACTGAAAAGGTTGCTTTTTTTTACAATCATATAAATCAAGGCCTAAAGAAATGAAATGGAAATTCCAACACCAGATCAGTTTAATTCAAATGATCCAGTAGTTACAAGTCAATATGATAGTCAAAGGTTCAGCCTAAACAAGAGATGTGATTAACAAATGAATTAATAATGAATGAAAGGAACATGGCATTTCTGGGTCCAAGTGTCCATTCGTTAACCAGGGGCTCTTTTAGGGACTGTCATGTGTGTCTCCTTTAATCTTCTGGAGGATCCAAACTAGGTTAACAATATGAAAAAATGAAACAGGTCTTGGTTTTCTTTTTCTTTTGTGGGGGGATGGTTTTCATACCAAAATCTTCTCTGAGCTGTACTTTCAAGAGACCTGTTTTGCTGGTCAGCTTCAGCCCTCAAAGCAGTGAGCCCTTATGAGGCATGTGTGAGAAGCAGTAGAGTTGTGAAACTGTTTTCTAAGAAAAGTGGCTGGCCTCCTGAGGGCTTGCTGTCACTATGCTAGAGTAGCAAAAAAACCCATAAGATAACTGCTCAAGACTATAAAATCTCTAGTCTTTCTATTGGTAAACCCACCCTTCCAGTTCCATGGGTCATTCATCTGGTCATAGGACCACTAGGAAGGTGGGTTCACCTGACATCATGCTGAATAGACAAGTGGTATACCTAGATTGTTAACGAGATAGTGAATTTTTCCTACCTGGAATCTTCTGGACTGGCCACAGACATGTAGCTCTCTGTAAGTCTGCCCACTTTTCTGAATTCCTTTCTTCTTCATATCCCTTCTCTAACTATGGTTTCTTTAACACTTTGGGCTGCCCCTAGCATCTTGTATTTCTTTACTTTTTCTCTAGAGCTTCCTTCTCCCTGCCATGTGGCTGCCAGTCTACCACGTATCTGACCTCCATGCAGGTTCTAAACCTGCCTGGCTTCCTGGCTTCTTTCCTTCTCCCCTCCATTCTCCTCCTCATGGCAGCTGCCAAGATGACCAGCTTGCCTGCCCTGAGGATTTTTCTTTAAAATTCTAGTAACATTGTCCCAAAGTGTCTGTTTGAGTTCATTCTTAAATTCTTTTATGAATGAGACTAAGAACACTCTAGGGGACACTGTTTCTCCCCTGTATCAGCTGGAGCCTGGAGTCTTGGGCCAAGGTTTAACAGAGAGGACATGGAAGGCTGAGTGCCTGCAGGGAAAGAGAAAGCTTCCTCCAAGCTTACAGAGAAGGCCAGGAAAGCCGTGTTAGATGTGCCACATGACCAGGCTCATCTCTGCCTTTACTCCAATGAGGTACATTACTCACTAAAACTTTTGGAATTGGAGTTGTCTTAGGGACAGATGTGTTGAATCTGATTTCAGGCAAAGCAAAATAAGGTTCTCTCATTTCTTTATATTTGATGCCTGTTCTCAAGAAATACCATCTTGATGTCATTATGTGTATCATGTACTGCCATCTGCTGGAAGTATGTGCTAATTGCAAAGTAAGCATCCAAGGCCAGAGGGGGTTCATGCTTAAACTGAGAACATAAATTTATAAAACTGAGAGACTCTAGATAGGCTGACTAGACCCCAGTGGATGAACTTGCACTGAAGGATGTCTGGGTACACTAACAACTCAATAGGCCTTAACATATATGACAGAATGCCTGAAATCTAGTGAGGGGGGATTATAAGAGGGGTGCAGATGGGGGAGAAGGTATAAAGATTATTAAGATGATTAAGATGTTTTGTATGAAATGCATAAAAATTCAATTAAAAATATACAGATAAAGTAGGACTAGTCTCAGCTCAGACACTTTTACCTATAGACTAATCAACCATACTTTTTCATCTGAGGAATGAGGGTCTACAAAGTGATTACTAAGAACTCCCTTTTCCAAATCTATAATTGTACTTTTGAAAAGGGAGATTTAGAGATTTTAAAACAGAAATTTGATGAATGCACTTAAGGTTCTTTCAAACTACAACAGTAGCCTATCTGTTATCTTCAGCTATTTCTAAAATGTATCAAGGTCAAAATGTAATAATAATTGACCTGTAAAGTACATCCAGTTTATCACTAATTAAATCTAGCGTCATTTTGAAAAGCAAATTTTCCATTTAGACATGTAGTAAAATAAGTGTGCTACTGTTTTATTTTGTTTTTAATAAAGTGACCAAACAAGACAAAAGTAAGCTTGAGAAAAAGAAGTTTCAGAGCCAACTGTCGCTAAGAACCAGGGTCTCTTTATTGCTAAGCTGTCAGCTGTGCTACTTTCCCTCCCTTTCACAGACTGAAAACTATATTTTGAAGTTTCCAGCAGGTCCCTGATTTTCAAAGCTTAACCACAGTACAGACTTGGAAGGAGACTTACTCATATATTTCTATATTGGTGAATTTGTTTTCAGTCACATAGTTGCTTGGGATTAAGCCTTCATTCCTATAACAAAAGACAAAACAAAACTCAAGATGTGCATCCTTCTGTAGATAGAGAAGTTATACTCAGCATAGACTACACCCGTTTACACACCTGTCAGTAGGGTGCAGGGGGCTTTTTTGCTTGTCCTTTCACTACCATTTGAAATTACAAAAAGACCTCCAAGACGTATTAAGGAGAGATGAGGGCACGTTGTAGAGCAATGCACAAAGTATGATAAGTTTCACGTACATTAAATCCAGAAACAATACCTCATATTTCCATATGTGTGCATAAGCTCATTCAAAATGATCACTGAGTGCACAATGGTGTTATTTGGGGAAAGAGGCCATTTTGGAGTAATGGCAAAGAAGAAATTTGGCAGCATTTTATAAATTCTATACACTTAACTATGAAATCAAAAAGCAAGTGCTTATTTCAAAATCTGGGAATTACAAGTGTCCATCTGTACATGAGACCAGTTACACAATCTTTAGCCTACCAACGCCTCTTTTTCCATCAAACAACCTCTAATACGTGTTGAGCCTAAACTCAGAACTATTGAGAAACTAATTCAGGAAAAACAGTTAAGGAGAGAAGTTTGCAATCAAGGTGATCATAATACTTAGAGACTGATAATCCCCCAATTTTGGCAAGATCAGGAGTGCATGCAGTGCTGACTCCAAGGGAGCCTAAATATTCCTCAGAATGCTTTTCAACCCAGGACTGCAGTCAGGCATCAATACCCTGTTGCAACTAATATGATGAAACCTAGTTGAATCCCAGGGCCTTTTTTCCTTTCCAGTTTAATCCAGCAATGACTAAAATATTTACCTCCAAACTAGTGATTATAGAAATAGGAAAATGAACAAGAAACGTTCTGCTGTTACCTTAGAACTTGATAAAAGCAATTTTGAATACAACAAATTCAAAACTAAAGAAAGTACAGTTGGGTGTGGTGTTACATGCCTGTAATCTCAGCAGCCTCGAGGCAGGAAGATGCTGAGTTCAAAGCCAGCCTATGCTAAACCTTAAGACCCTGTCTTAAAACAACAGAAGGTGGGGAGAGAAGGAGCGGGGAGGCAGGGAGGGAGGGAGAGGGGGAGGGGGGAAAGGAAGGAGGGATGGGTGCCAGATTTTTTTAAAAAGTACAAGCTGAGTAAGAACATATATGGTAGAAATTATTATTATTTCTGTTTTTACACGTGTATGTGTGTGATCTGTGTGTATGTGTGTTTGCATTTGTGGGTGCACATGTGTGTGAAAGTCCCTATGCATGCATGTATGTGGAAGCCCAAAGTTGATTTCTGGTGTCATCATCAATCACTCACCACCTTATACATTGAGACAGGGTCTCTCCTTGAACCCAGACTTCCCCATTTCTGCTAGTCTATCTAGCCAGCTTGCTGTAGGATTCCCTGTCTCTGCCTCCTGAGCCCTGGGATTGCAGGTGGACCACCAGGTACACCTGGTTTTTATGTGTCTTCTGGGGATCTGAATGCCAGTCATGCCCACATGCCACAAGCACTTTCCAGCTAAGCCCTTATCATTCCTGTTTCACAAATAAAAGCTCAGGTAAGGGACCTCCCAAGGAAGCCCAGGAGCAAGAGGCAGGAGCGGTAAAGCCAGGTATGTCTGTTTCTGGGGTTCTGCCTGAAATCACTGTGCTCTAATGCTCTGTCTTACAGGTGGGGATGTGGAGATGACTTATATTCCATGTAGAGGGAAGAATTATAAACATGGGAGAAAATAGCCAGCACACGGGGGCTTCTTTAGAGGATGGAAGAGAAGGGATCAGATAAAGACTCAGCCATCATCTTACCCCAGACGGTCTCTGGCCTTCCACCAGTGAGGATCACACCTCTCTAATATCAGGTATTCCTCTGCTCTCTTTAGTGCTAAATTACAGGGCTCCCAAGGCAGGAAATCATAAAGAGCCTTGACCCGGATCTTCTCTTCAGCAAACTCTGAGGGCGGAAGGGGAGGCAGTGGCTTGCGTTTTGAGGGTTGCACGCAACTCCTGTTGGACTGTAAAAACCAAGAGTTCTATTGTTTTAGTCATTTGTAGCAGGAAAGAGCAGGACATAGCACGTTAGCTTCCCCTCCCTTCTCCCCATCCAGTACCAGCAAGACAGAAGCCTCCACAAGGGCAGAAAATAGAGGCTATGTTGCAGCTTTGGAACTCCAGCAACAGCTCATTGTTTTGTGAATTTTTGAAATCACAAGTTCTCCTGCCAGCATCAAATTGGATTTTTGCAGGTTACGATTCTTTTTTGTTTGTTTGTTTTTGAGACAGGCTCTCCCTATAACCCCAGCTGGCCTGGTTCTGTGGAGACCAGGCTGGCCTCCATCTCACAAAGATCTATCTGCCTCTGCCTCCCAAGTGCTGGGAGTAAAGGCATCAACCATCAGGCCCAGACATGTCACAATTCTTAAAAGATGTCTTATTCTGCAATAGTTTCACTTGATTTTAAGAGTTCTTCTCTTCTGAGAAACGTCCCCTTTCCTTATCTTGTGCTGCAACTTTGTTGGACTTCACCTCACTTCCCAAGATGCTCAATACTCAACTGGAATTTAACCCTCATCTCCAGTACTTTTCCCCTATTCGATGTCTTCTTTCAAGCTCTATCTTTAAATTTAGCTGAGTAGGCTATGTTAACTGGGTCTGTTTTTCTCGCTTTCTTCTAGAACATTTATTGAGTACTTACTGAACACTAAACATGAGACAAGTTTCTGGGTCTGGCAACAACAGCACCTCCCGGAGAGTGGGGACTCCCTGTGAAAATGGTACTCACCGTCTTCTTGGTTTTCAGTTTGCCAAACCAGGGCCTGGGACTTCCAGTGTGTTTTTCTGAAAACTCTTCATCTTTTCTCAGGCTTATTTGTGTTCTCACCTGTCTGATGTTGAAAAGCAATCATATTACAAGTGATGTTTCATAACAAGGGTATTCATAAATCCCCTAGATTCATCCAGACCAGAGATAAAGCCACCTGGGTGTCTTTCAAGGAAATGTTTTTAAGTCTACCTACTTCTTACTCCCTGAGCAAATTACCAGCTCAGAGAACTTAGTTTTCTTTATTCAGAAATCAGAGGCTCACAGTATTCAGAGTTGTTATGAAATAAAGTCTTAAGAACATGTCATATGCCCAAACATGGTGTGGTGCTTATATTAGCGGCATAAAACTACAGTCCAACACAGCACTAACTACCTCAGGCAGAGTTCAGAGTGCTTACCATCACAGGCATCACCTGTTTTATATAGACAAGGTGTGTGAAGAACACTAGAATGCATCCCCAGCTCCACCATTTCACAGTGTGGCCTTGGGCAAGCAATGCAACCTCTCTGGGCCTCAGTTATTCTCATCTGTAAAGTGGGAATTACAAAGGAAAGCACCATGGGAGGCTTTGAGAGCTATGTGCATGGATAAACATAAACCTCTTAGCATAGTGCCCATTAAATGCTAACTGTTACCATATTGACATAGTGCCTTGGTTTAAGTCTCATAGACTCTCACACTGGAAACCAAGGGGTAAGACCTATGGATAGTTTTAGAGAGATACTCAGATAATTAAGACAGGATTATTTTGCATAAGAGGAAAAAATTAGAGTAGAACATATATAGGCAGTAAATGATCAGTATACTGAGATATATATACAAAAAACAAACAAAGAATTAAGGAAAAACTAAATCACATGCTGTGGGAACACACAGAAAGGGAGACTGCATCTGGGAGCAGGGACGAAGGCTCAGCGCCTCCTTGTCTTGGGCCCTTAAGTAAATGGGCATTCAGCAGGGACCAGATAGGAGGCTTCCCAAGAAAGCAAGAGACATGGATGGACAAGAAGACTGAACAGACAGTAAAGATGCTGAATTCATTCATTTCCAAGAAGGTGCCCTTGGAGCAGACTTACCGCTTCTGTACTGAGCAGCAGCAGCAGCAGCAACAGAAAACGGACTGGAAGGTGCTGTCTGAAAAACACATCATTCTCTCTGTTAGGGAGCCGCAAGTCCATGACACTGTACAGAAGATGCTGGTGGTGCCATTCCAAAAGATCAGGGAAACAGGACTGATCAGAAGTATGGGAACATCTTGACGGTGCCCTCCCTCACTAGTGGAAGACAGAAAAAAAACTGTCACTAAAGCAACCAAAAAGGAGTTCCTGGCACCCTGGCCAGTGTGGTTTCCCTTCTCAGGCTCCTCTCTCTGGCCTGGTTTGCACATTTCCTCAGTCTGTAAGCAACAAATGATCAGTATACTCTATTTTAACTCTGTCGCCACTAACACCAGCTTCAGAAGAATAGGATTCCAGAAACAATGTTCTCCAAGGAAATCCATCCATAGGAGTTTTAAATTTTTTAAAGAATCAAAAGTTTTAGAATGCTTTTAAAATAGACTCTCAACTTTACTCCAGAGATCTGGTGAAGCGAAGTTATGCTTAAACTTCTATCATGAAATATAACCTTCATTTAAGTTAGATCTCCAATTTGCCAGTCATAGTTTTTTCAAGTTCCCAATTAATAAGCCACCTTGTTTGCCACTGCCCATCAGTCAATGCAAACCAATGCCTCAGTCTACCTTCTTTCCTTCCTAACTGATGGCTGCCTGAAGTCTCAAAAGGACTTTCAACATTAATTTTCAGTCTACCTCTGAATGAGACTCTTATACAATAACTGTTTATTTCCCATTGGTACAGATAGGCAGACCTATCTGGAAATGAGGCCTCCTTAGCTGGTAGGAAACCTACTATAAACCCACTGGTGGGGGTTTAGGGGGAAGCATAAAGATCAGGTAGTAGCTGAATATGTCTCCTAATCATGGAGTTTTCTTGACCTCTTCCATATATACCATGAAAGATATTATCTACAGGCCCAATTTCATAGTTCATTGAACCAGATAGCAGTAGGTCCATGATAGACAGTTTGGATCACATAAATATTAGATTCACGATTAAGAATTGTCTTGCTTTTCCTTAGCTTCCTTCCGCCAAGCTGCTGCATTCTTCCCACAAAGCAAAGGTGGCATTGGGGTGAGATCCTCATTTCATCTAGTGACTAGCAACTGTCTCCAAGCTTGCCTGTCTTCAAGGTCGCTGCATCGTCTGGGCCCTCATCTTGCATGACAATGAGGTGACCCTCAGGGACAACATGATTGTGCCCTCATTAAAGCAGCTGGGGTCAATATTGGACCTTTTGGCTTGACCAGTGTCTACTTTGGAAGCCTCATCTGCAGAATAGGGGCTGGTGGACTTGCTGTGGCAGCCAGTGCTGTGCCAAATAGAGGTCCTGTCCCTGCACTGTGGCTGGCACTGTAGACGGAAGTGGAAACACAGAAAGATCTGAGGAGTCTGAGGAGAACGTGGGCTCTGGTCTTTTTCGCTTTCTTTTTTTTTTTTTTTTTTTTTTTTTTTTTTTTTTTTTTTTTTAAAAAAAAAAAAAAAAAGAGGACGATAAATCTTTCACTGTGATATATCAAAATAATGGAACTCACTATGTAGAGACCAGGCTCCTTGAACTCACAGAGATCCGCCTGCCTCTGCCTCCCAAGTGCTGGGACTACAGGCATGCGTCACCACGCCCAGCTTTGTTTTCTTTTTTTGAGACAGGGTATCCCTATAAACCCAGCTGGCCTGAAACTCACTATTAGAGCAGGCTGACGTTGATCTCCAAGAGATCCACCTGCCTCTGCCTCCTGAGTGCTAGACTCAAAGGAGTGCACCGCCACACCTGACTGGCTTTGGTTTTTGTTGTTGTTTGTTTGTTTGGGTTTTTGTTATTGTTGTTTTGTTTTCTTTTTTTGAGACAGGGTATCCCTATAAACCCAGCTGGCCTGAAACTCACTATTAGAGCAGGCTGACGTTGATCTCCAAGAGATCCACCTGCCTCTGCCTCCTGAGTGCTAGACTCAAAGGAGTGCACCGCCACACCTGACTGGCTTTGGTTTTTGTTGTTGTTTGTTTGTTTGGGTTTTTGTTATTGTTGTTCTTTTTAATTATTTATTTAATAACCACAAACTTAGAAGAAGCATTTCATTACAACAGCATTAACATATTCAATAACAATTTCCAGAGCTAAGCTGCATCTCTTTCAAAATTGGCTGTAAAATTTTAGGTTTACAGTTGAATTATTACAGTTATACAATATTGTACTCAGTATAAACCCTGTAAGACATAAAATTAAATGCTTTTCACCTTTAAAAAAGATCTAGATTTCATTATTAAACTACAGTTTCATACAGAAAAATTCATTTTCAAGGCAATTGACATTAAGATGTTTACACATGTGTTTCTAATCTCTATATATCTGATTATGACTAGTGACAGTCAGTTGCACTTGGATCTCCTTGGCGTCTGAGCATGGCTATAAAGTCATCAGGTAGATTTCAATGGTAATGTTTTTCACATTCT